AGAGAGAAGTGGGAGGAGAAAGGGTAGAGAGGGAAGGAAAGAGAGAAAAAAGGAAAGAAAATGTAAGAAAAATAGATTATTTGATCATTTTGAAAGTTTTACTGGAAGAAAAGTTTGAGAATGGATTGAAGGTAGGTAAGGAGATAAGACCAATGAAAAAGAAGGGGCAGGTATTAATTCCAGAGAAAACAAAAAGTTGTACAAGAAAGGAAATATAATCATAGCATGCTACATAGCTAAAGTGTGAGGCACTGTGCAAAAATCAGTCATGTAAATATGGAATACTTCAAAAATAATTTATGATAATATATAACTATATAGAGAATTTGAAGAAGAAAAAAGAAAGACTCAGTGTGTGGAGAGGAGTTGTGTATATTTGTGAGGAGGTATTGGAAATGAACTAAATCTTCTATAGAATCAAATAATTGAAAAATTAAGAAACAGCAGTTTATGGAGATAAATAAGAGAAAACAACTTAATGAATTGAAGTGGTCACCTCTGGGAAGCAGAAATTTAGAATGGAGGGGATGAAGCGGGGGCTGAGTTTTTCATCATAAGCCCTATAGTACTATTTGACTTTCTGAACTATGCCATGTATTATTTGAATAAAATAAATAATATATATTTTAAGGAAACTAAACAAGGGGACTCCAGGTTTTTAAAGTTAAGGAAAACGTATCTTCAAAGAGATTTCCACTATGGCTGTGAATATTGGAGCTCTGTTCTTTTTGTGGAGATTTTATGGCTAAAAAGCTTATAATAGTATACTTCACAAGGTACCCAAGAAATTTTGGTAAAATAAAACTGAAAGGGGAAAACGTTTTGCAAAATATCAATATATAAAGACTCATTCTGATATAAACAGCCACACACACAGAAAACACACAGGTATAGATAGTCTATGATGTATCTAGTCTTATGATTGCAACTGCTAAAAGTTAACATCACGTTTTGGAAATTATTCACTTTCCACTACTCCATGTAGGAATTATTCCTGGGTTCTGGGCGTCCCTGTAGCCTTCCTCGACCAGCCAGCAGTCGTTTGCTTTGGTTTACTTCTTTCACAGTTGCTCCGTTGTTGTTTTGTTTGTCAGACATGGAGACTGAATTTGCCATCCCAGCAATCTCACTGTTGTTCCACTGGTTCCAGATAAGCACTTCCTATCAAAGGGTTCTTTCTAGACTTGCCTTTCCAGTTCTTCTATTTGATCTCAAAAGCAGCTCTGTTATTTGTGCTGATGCTCTCTCCATCGGAGCTGAGAATCAGCTGTAAACATATTCGTGGCCAGAACTTTGATAATTACCATGCTTAATGATTTATTAAACATCCCTATATTTACGACAGTGTTAGGTACGAGGCAAAAGATAGTGAAAACAGAGAGAGAGAGAGAGACAGAGAGAGAGAGAGAGCCTGCCCTTAAGAAACAACAAGATTAGGAAAAGATAATAGATAGACACAACCAAAGTAAGTTCTGGTTATTTCACCACGGAATCATATATTGTAAAAATTAGACAGCAATCCATAAGGTCCAATACACAATGAACAGAAATTTCAGAAGGTAAATAAAGAGAAAAGGGAGAGGAAAAATGATCAAAGAAATAATATAAGAACATAAGCCAGAGAAGATGTGAAAGCTTAGAGTGGTGGAAATTTTATTGATACTTTCATTGTCACTATTTTAGCTGAAGTTTTATAGGAATTAAGAGAAGACGGTAAGGAGTGAGAAAAGGATGTGGAGAGAGAAAGGAAATAGAGTGAGTGTGGGCAGGAGGGTGCTGGAACTCTCTCGTAAGCAGGGATTTACAACTGAGATGTGTAAATGAACAGAAAAGAATGGTATCATCTCAATCCAACTGGCAAACTGGATAAATAAGGATTTTTTTTTAAAAAGAATTAGTGAAGTATAAACTTTTTAAAAATAGGACTTCCCTTCCTTAAAAAGTATTTTTCCTGATGGTAGAATTAACATACACGTATTATAGAAAACTTAGAAAATTCGTAAAGTTTAAAGAGGAAAACAATAATCACTTATAAATTTACCAACCAGAAATAGTATTTCTAATATTTTAGTTCTTCAGTATTTTTCTATACATACTAAAAAGCACAATCTAAGTTGTAACATACAAGCTGTTGTATGATCTGCTTATTTCACTCATTTTATGAGCATCTCCATGTGATTAATCACCCATTAATATCATGATTTTCATGCACATTATTTATTTTTTAAAATACCTATTTTTGTTCTAATTTTTCACTATCATAAGTAACACCATGAGCATCATCTTTGTACATAAACTTTTGTTCAATTCTCCAATTATAAGGAATACTATGTAAATTCTGACAAGTGGAATTACTAGATAAAACATATTCAAAAATTAGAGATTTTTTTTGTTTCTACTTTTGGTTCTCTCTTTTTTGAAATTCCCAGGAACTGAGTGAATTTTGATTCATTTCTGAGAGAAATGGCATTTTCTGCAAATGTCCCAAATAAGTAAACATCTGTATAAGATTATTATCTTAAAATAAATGTTCTAGTGTTCCTGGCTTTCATTAAAACTAAGTGTTGATCCTGGTCTTTGTGCCCAACAAAGAAAAAAGTGAATTTTCACTAGCAATAGCAGCAAACAAATTTGAACTACACCTAAGTATAATTATATTTTATATATCACCTGTAATTCCTGCTCGAATTTGTGCAGTGTACTTGCATATAGTGTAATTAACTATTCGGAGAGCTATGTAAATACTGCTCCACAATCAGATAAACGCATGAAATAAACGGTATGTTTGCAGAAAGATATTCACATGTTTATATATGTATTTTGAAGCTTGTTTCAAACAGTGGTGAGTTAATATTTCATTAAAAAGCATGCCTTTGCTTGGCAGTTCTTTATGAGGTTAAGAAGTGATTATTCTAATGAGGTCTCAAAAAGAAAGATGCTGTCTACCCTGAAAGTACCTGGTGAGATGGAAGCAAGAAAGGAGGAGCCCACAGATTGAATCCAGAAAACCACCACTTTTGTTTCTTCACCTGACTGAGCCTTTCCAAACACAACCTCTGCAGCTCAAGGCTTCAGTTACTCATAGTCAGGCAAGCATAAGGACCTGAAATAAGTACCTTTAAAATTCATGTTCCAGCAAAGATAAGAACTTTGTCCCAAGTTAGCAAATTTCGAAAGACATTTAGTGAGGGTGGGGAGTGAGGATGGGTTCACACTGCACCCACATGTCTGCAGAGCCTGTGAGTTGGATTAATCATCTTTGGTCTGGCTCGTGGGAAATACTTTACTGTAGCTGGCGTATAAACTGTGAATGTAGAAGCATGATTTGTATTAAGATTAACAACAGACCATTCTGACAGCTTGCCACCTCACAAACCTCTGATGCGTCTGGCTACAACAAACATCCCTGTATATTGCCTATATTTTTGCCTGCTTCAGAACTTAATACTGACGTGTATAAAATGTTGCACTTTCCAAAGGTATACGTTTTTTTTAATTAAACCAAGATAAAACATAAAAGTTCACATTTCAATGATGTTTTTCTACCAGCTACTGATTGCAGTGGATGTAAACCAAGCTATGTTTTTATTTCTCCAGACAGAATTTCTTTAGAGCTGGCTGGCATGTGCAGACAAGAAACCACTATGAGGTTTTGGGGTTGGAAGGCTGTAACGGACAAGAAGCAAGCCACAGAGCTCAGTCCTGTCTCTGCAGGTCGGCACCACCTTCGGCCGTGCGGCCTCCATCAAGCTTCTGGGGGTTGGCGGAGAGATGGGGCGGGGGCGCACGACGACAGACCGATGGACGGAACACACCAGGAGATACAAGATGCACACAGCTGCCTAGTGATGTAAGATCCACCTGCAAGACTTCCCAGTATTTCTAATGCATCCAGTTGTGGACACACATCCAAGCACTAGTTAGAACCTGTTTGCACATGAGAGCCCCTAAAGCAAAGACTTTTCTGCAAAATCTCCAACTACAATGCAAATGGTGGCATCCTGAGAGAATTGAGGCACATAATAGCAACTGGCAGTAAGTGATGGCTTGTGAATTACCTCAAGTTGGGGGAAGGTCAGCAGAACAATGCCTTTCCCCACTCCTCCTTTCCTTTAAGGCAGACAAAGTGATAAATTAAAGGAGAATTGGTTGCTTGCCACACTGGTCAGGCTGAGGAGAGCGAACGCTTGTCAATGAGTAGTCACTCCCCAACTGGTTGCCACTCATTATTACCACGGATCTCTGAAAGCCCTACACCCCTAAACCAGGATATCATGGAGAAAGACAGTGGGGAAGAGGAGACTTTATTTTGAGACAACGCTAAGGCATACTCATCATCAAATTTTCCTGAATTAGAGCTGAATGAATTGGAAAGCTTTTCCTGTGCTCCCAGGTCATGAGGTTGAAACAGCTTCCAACTGCGCTAGTTCAGCAACAAATGTTTGAACATTGAATGGTCTTACAAAAACCTGTCCTCCATTTCACTTTGATAATACAGAAAAACTTCCCACATTTGAACATCAAGAATCCAAATTTCCAATATTCATAATTCAGTAAGATAAGCGAGGGCTGTTCAGGGCTTTCTAAAGCCGTTGTAGGGACCCCTAAATGCTCTAGTCTTCCTACCACCCAAGTCTAGGATTGCATGACCTTAGAGAAAAGCTACAAAAGGAGCACCACGTTTCGCCATGTGACCTCTGCAGACTGCCTCCCTCAGAGTGAGAATTTTATGCAATTTTTGGTTTCTTATCTACTGTCAGCAATAAAAGGAGTTTGATTCCTAGGTATTCAAATACAGGAAAGTCTATTGTACCACCCTTTTCCATCTCTTAGAAGAAAGGAAAAAAAAAGTCAAACCTGGCAAGAACATGAGGATGTGTAGGAAGGATTTCTGCAGGTAATTAAACCCCGCTACTGCCGAGGCATGGAGAGCATTACACATCGACAGTCTGAAACACACCATGAGAACTGCTTAAAGTGTGTCTCACTTTCACACTTACCTGACCGTGGGATGGAAGTGCAGCGTAAGCCATGGGCTGATTCATCACTCCTTTCTGCTTCATGAGAAGCATGCGTTTCTGGTCCTCACTCAGGTGTGCTCTGGGAGCCTGGAGCTGGGGTGGCGGCTGCTGCTGCTGTGGCTGCTGCTGCTGTGGCTGCTGCTGCTGGATGTATGGCATCAGGGGGTTTTTGTTGGGGTTGGCCATTGGTGGTGTCATTCTCTGACTCAAGTCTGCATTAAAATGGGTCAGAGGCTTAGTGTTGCCATAAGTGAGAATATTGTGCTGTTTGTTTAAGGAGTTTGTACCCAAGTTATTTGGCTGCTGATTGATCATATTCATGTGATTCTGAGGGAGGTAGTTATTCATTGTCGTCTTCTGCAGGTTGTTTGCCATTGGAGGCACTATAGGGTTTTGGTTGTTAAAGGCTTGGGGGTACATCATTGGGCTATTTGGTTTTTCTGCAGTGAAAGCTGCTCCATATGGACTGGACGGAGGCCCCAAAGGAGACCAACTTGAAGTCTGATTTGAGTGTTGCTGCTGCTGTTGCTGCTGTTGCTGCTGCTGCTGCTGTTGCTGTTGCTGCTGCTGCTGCTGCTGCTGCTTCTGTTGCATGAGTTTGGCCCTTTGTTGCTGTTGTGCAGCCATCTGTTTGAGCTGCTCCGCTGGAGACATGTCGGAGCTGGGCACAGCCACAGGGCCCGAGCCTGAACTGGCCGCTGTCACTGCTGCTGGATTAAGGAGATAACCATTTCCAGGCCGAGGTGGAGCTTGGCCTGGAGTGTGGGCTTGGTTTGGAGTTTGAGGGGACAGGACAGCACAGTTTGCTGGTGAGCTAGCGGGGTTTGGAGCTGCGGGAGTGCTGGCAACAGAAGGTAAACTAGTGGCCGTGGAGACTGTAGAAAAGGGAGGACCAGAAGAAGAAGGCCTCACCTGGGGAGATCCCATGGAGACATGTGTAAAAGGAGAGTGAGAGGGGTCACTCTTCACACTTGCACTTTCCTGGGAGAGGGGGGTCTCAGTCACCGGCTGTGAGAATTCTGGCTCCTTCTTCTCTTCAAAGTCTTCATTGAACAGGTCCTGTATGTCATCTTCAGGAACCGTGTTGGCCAACTCATCTATTAATTCTTGCCACTCCTGATCATTCAGGTTAATGTCTGAGAACAGCTTGTTCTGATTTGAAAGTGATGTTTCTGATGTGTCTATGCAAGTAGGGTCATCTAGAGGTTCTTGTTTGAGGTCCTTGCTCTGCAAGATAGTGAAGCTATCCTCCAAGTCACTGCAACCATTGACAGGAAGTTTAATCTCTGGGAGTCTACCATTCTTATTAAGATCTTCTAGAAGCCCAGGAGTGTGAGTTCCACTATTCTGCAAGGGCAGAGAAGGCTTCAGGTCAAGTTGGTGAAGAGGAGAGGCTGAAGGCAGTGGCATGTTGTTGGGCAAACTGTTGATGGCTTCCATCCCTGGGGGAATGTCCTTTCGTATTCGCTTGCTAGTTGGAGAAAAACTCCCATCGCAAGCACCATTCTGCTGGTCTCCATTAAGTGGTGATCGGGCTCCTTCCAACTTCCTTTTCACAGTCTCTTGGAGCTGGAAAAGAAACAGGAAAAAGGATGACTAAATCTCCAAGGCATAGTTTACTCTTTAAGCATGGTGATGTGTATTTTTATAAACTAACTTTTAAATGGTTTAGAATAATAGGAAATAAATTATACTTCTAATGTCAAAATCAGCCAGGCTTTAATTCAAATTCTATGGGAAAAGGTTTTATCCAAAAGGAGAGCTCACAAGGCTAAGCTATAGGAAATAGGAAAAGACTGGAGGGTGAGGGAACAAAAGAAAAGAGATAGTACTTCTCTCATAGGGAAGAATCACGTATTATTATTTTCTAAATGAATGCTAGGGGTGAGACTTGGATCAAAATGTATCATACTCTAGAAAGATCTTAATACCTATCTTTAGATTCTTAAAGAATTCTTTAAATTCTCATCTAAGAATCTAAAGATGGGTTTAAGATTTTCAATGTACCTTAATTGAGAACATCAAGGAATTAAATCAACAATATTTTAAAGAACACCAAAAATTCTCTAAGAATATGGAATTTAACACATTTCCTGAATAGCACAGAAATGAAGATTAGAAATGAAGGTTAAAGTAACCCAAAACTTCCTTTCAGTTCTTACTTTACTTGACTTCCCAGCACCTTGTGATACAGTAGCTCACTGTGTTCTAAAAGCATGCTTCCATTGCTCTCCATAATATCACTTTCCTCCTTTCTGTCTAGTGCTCTTTCTCAGTCTCTTACGTATTCTTCTTTCTTTCTCCTAAATGATGAGATTCTTCAATGTTATATCTTAAGCTTTCTTCCCCGCTCACTCTACATGCTTGCCTAGACAATTTCATCCATTATAACAGCTTCAACTATCTTCTCTGGGCTGATGACCCCATAACAAGGTACCCAGCCCAATCTTCTCAGTTGAGTTCCATCAACTCCAATGTTCTCTTCCTGAATGTTTCATGGGCATCTAAAACTCAACACATCTCAACATTGAGCTGATTATCTTTTGCTACTCAAATGTGATTCTCACCAATGTTCTCTATCTCAGTATCTACCCAGTTACCCAAATCAGAAACCTGAGCATTCTTGAAACTCCTCATATCACAAGTCACCAACCCCTATGGATTCTGCATCCAAAATATGACTCTAATATGCCCACTTATCTCTATCCTCACTGCTACGATCCTAGGCCAGGATACCATTATCTCTTGCTAGATTGTTGCAACAGTCTCCTAACTGGTCTCTTTGCCTTGCCTCCATTTATCCATCCACTCACTCTTTCATCTATTCCTTTGTTTTGTCTTATTCTCCATCAATCTAGTCTCTATATTACCACCTCTTTCAAAAAATATATTTCCCTCCTGTTTATAACCCTGCAATGATTTCTATTGTCTTTACATTAAAATCCAAACTAAGCTTGCTTCAGCTGGCTCTTGCTTACCATTTCAGGCTCATCTTTTTGCCTCTCTGCTCAGCATCACCTCCCCATCCCTTCCCAAACATTTTCTATCAACTTTCCTGAAACTCTTTCAGTTTTTTAAGTGCGCCAAGCTTCCTTCTGCCTCTAGGGCATTGTACATGCTGTTGTCTTTTCTCGGAACATACTCCTCGCCCTCCCTCCTCCCTTCCCCTGGTTAATAGCTACTCATCTTTCACATTGGATCTTAGGTTTCATTTCCTCTATGAAGTCTTCTCTTACATCCTTTCCCCATCCTAACTACATTAGGTTCCTTCTTTGACCCACCTATACTGGGTTGGATATCCTGGAATAAGTTTTTCCAAACAACCTGCACTTTTCCTTCATAGCTTCTATCATACTTTGGGGTAATTGCTTAAGTGTCTGTTTAGTTAGCTCCAAGAAGGTAGGGACTATGGCTGACGTGCTTACTATGTATCCAAGGGGCTGCCCCCAGTGTTCAGGTTCATAGGAGTGCTTAATAAATAATGGTAAATTGAGTAAACGAGTCTATTGTCTAATTCACAGGGGCTGAAAGAGCTGAGTTTGAATCAGAGTAGGAGGCAGCCCCACTGACCACATGGATTGCCTCACTTTGAGAGTCTACATTCCTAGTAAGGGGCTCTCTTGCCCTGGAGAGTACTATGTCCACCCCACAGACTCATTTAAGAAGTCCAGTTAAGAAAAGTCTTGCTAAGTCTATGGATTTATTAACTATAAACCTAATTCATCTGGCTGCCCCCTTCCTTTCTGCTAGAAAGGGACAGCGCATGGGGTTCTGGTGAAGGAGCTTGGCATGAAGTAGGTACTGGGAAAATGCTTGCTGAATGACAAAAGGAAGACTAGTTCAGATTAGAAGAGGTTTCAGTAACTTTACAGAGTTGGAGGCAGAAGGCAGAATGACACAGGGAGGGAGAGAGGAGGCAGAGCCGTCCTCCACTTGGGCATTCTCATTTTCTTGGCAAAGGTACTGTGTATTACAGAGCAATGGAAGAGAGGAGCAGGATTCCCTGTGACTCTGCACTTTGACACTCACGTGTAGAACTGCTAAGGCTCTAGAGGAGCCCCATGTAAAATAAAACCAATCTGGGGATGATGTGGGGGATTCCAAGAAGTGCCATTTTATTGCTATTCTCTCATAAGTAGAGAATTCTATTTTAAAAGTAAACAGAAAAGGTCCTTGAGCAAAAATCCAGTCTAATCTTTATTCCTAAATTTTGTATTTTGTGTGTGTGTGTGTGTGAGGAAGATTGTCCCTGAGCTAACGTCTATGCCAATCTTCCTCCATTTATTATAGGGGGACGCCATCACAGTGTGGCTTGATGAGCGGTGTATAGGTCCACACCCAGGATCTGAACCTGTGAACCCCAGCCCACCAAAGCAGAGTGTGTGCACCCAACCACTATGCCAGTGGGCAAGCCCCCTAAATCTTGTATTTTTAATCACAACACTGCACCCTGTCTGCAGTCACTTGGTGGAAGCCCCTGAATTGCTGAAAAGAAGGCCCTAACCGGAACACACTGGAATTTGACTTCAAAGAAGATACTAGTTCAATCCATCATATTACATAGAAATAGCTAGAAAATTATGATATTTATTGAACAAACCAGGAAACCGTGGTTCTGATCGTAGGTATGGCAGATACCTGGACACAGCTCTAAGATATAGTGGCAAGTTCAAATATCACAGCTTCAGGGCCTAAAGGAAACAAGGCTTGAGACCCTCAGCACCATGTGAAGTGATGTTAACCTTAAAAAAATAAGCACTTGTCTTAAAAATGAACCTGACTTTATTTTAGGAAGCCTAGGTCCAGGATTCTATTCTAGGCCGTGAAGGGATGGGCAGGATGGAGAAATACAGACAAATGCTCCAGTTTGTTCCTCTGTAAAGTAGTGGTGGCCGAGACCATGGAGACAGACAGACCTGGTGGGAACCCCATGTTCTACCCCTTACCAGCCGAGTGGGCCTAGAAGGGTGAGGCAGTACACGGCAGGAATGCAGAAACAGGATCACAGGCTCTGGAGTTAGAATGCCTGCGTTCAAACCCAAGACCCTCCATCTAAGGGAAAACACATACAAATGTCATCTGGTACTTCATGACTGTTAGCTATGCTACCCTCCATTAGGAAGTGAGTTACGCGAAAGTAGGGATTTTTCTGATTTGTTCACTACTGGGTCCTTGGTAGTTCACAGTAAGATAATAAATGCCTATTGAATGAATTAATCCTGGAAAACTTATTTAAACTCTCCTAAGCCTTGGTTTTCTTATCTGCAAAATGGGTTAATAATATGTAGCTCACAAAGTTACTGTGAGGACGAACCCAAATGAAATAATGTGGAAAGCACTTAGCTTCATGGCCGGTGTCCAGTAAGCACCCACTAAGCCTTAAGCTATTACTATTTTAAATTCAGTGATACCAACAGCCACAATTGCAACTGAGATAGATTCCTTTCTGGATCTCTGAAATACAAATAGGTAGAATGATAATATTTCTGTTCCCTAGCCGGTAAAACCTGAATGTTTTCCAAGCATCTGGTGTAGCTTTTTTAATATGAACAACAAAAATCAAATTTGCAATTCAAGCCCAAGTCCAAGTGCTAATGCATTCGTGTCCTAGATTGTAGAACAGCACTGGATTGTTGAAGTTCAAATCAAATACATTTCCAGCATGTGACCTGAATGGAGCTGCTGAGTACTTCCTTTTCCTTGAGGGCTGAAAGTTCTCCACCGCTGGCCCCTTTAACCCAAATCTTGACATATTTTTTATGTATCAGCATTTGGGACTATAGGAAAGACATCACTGAAGATGCTATGTTATGGTTTTTATGTTTTGTTTAGTTGTGTCCACAATAGCAGAGCAATCTTAGCATCCCTACTGTCTGTCTCATCATCCTTTGCTCTCTGGAAAGGTGGTCTGAGAGTCCAACTCTCTCCTTATGTCCCTCTTGGGAGATAGATGGAGAGTTGGCAGGAAGAAATAGAAGCTGAATGCTGGAGAAGGCTGAGTAACTCGCAAGTTGTAACTCTCTGCTCAGTGAGCATGAGAACGGCTGACTGCACATGGGGAATGTCCTTGTGAGCTCCCCCACACTCCAAGGACTAAGGTTAGAATCTCATCCCAAATAGCCTTATCTTAAGAAGTCCTTGGCCCCTCTGCCTTACAAAGCTGGAAGCCTCTTAGTATGATTTGTGCCCTTGAGGGAGAATCACAGAAACTCTTTACTGAGCATCAGCTTCCTTGCTCCTGTATTGCTATTATTACATATAAATGTTTTCTCCCATTAAGGGAAGCTGTGGTGCCAGGAGCTGAAGTATGCTGTTCATCCAATGCCTATGACAATATGTGCCACTATCACGTGTCAATTACTCTGAAGGAAACAATTCCTCTTCCATAATGGCTCTAGCACAGGTCTCTTGTCTACAGAGTGGCTTGATGGCTTGCATTTCTACGAAACTGTGTGTGTGTGTGAGTTTGTGTGTGTGTGTGTGTGTGTGTGTGTGAGAGAGAGAGAGAGAGAGAGAGAGAGAGAGAGAGAGGGAAACTGAGAGGCGGAGAGAGAATGGTTTGAGAGAGG